TCTCTCTCTCTCTCTCTCTCTCTCTCTCTCTCTCTCTCTCTCTCTCTCTCTCTCTCTTTCTCTCTCGCGTCGCTTAGGCACGTTGTTGATTCTCGCGAGAAGCGATATAAGTGACAGTGCTCCACGTGTGATGTCGGCGAATCGATGCCGCGTCCGATACAATCCCGATCGTCCCGACGTACGTTAGGTCCATGTTGATTTAGCAGCACGAGCAGATAACCCATTATCTGTCAAAGTAGCGAAGAGCTGTTGGCCAAAGTACTCCACCAATTAATCCGATTAATCCCACGTGCCTGGATGACCGATTGTCGACGCGGGTGCGAAGTTCCGCGCGACAATTAACGCTACGGTACTCGCTCTCTCGGTAAAGCGATCAATGTTGGCACTGTTCGTCGCCTGTGTTTGACAATATTGTCTCACATTCCCTTAAATTGATCTATTCTGGAGAGTTTCTTCGGAATAAAGTAAGACTGTACGCGAGATTTTCTTAGTAACGGAGCAACGACTTGCTAATGACGCGATGAACGATCGCTACGACATTAATAAAAGAATGACAGGCGTTAATTTGACAGTCGTTAGTTGTAAGAAATTTTTTATGTTTCCATAGGCATTTTCACAAGATCCCATTTAATGGAATAACTTACTGAAATGTCGAAATTAATTAGCAGTTAGTAAATTGAAGAACGCGCGCGTGATGAATGTTAAAATTGTTAAAATCTCTTAGTTATAAATGTCATATTGTACCATTTTAAGCGACGTGACGGTCTCGTCGAATGTCCGCGAGTGGTTACGCTCGCCGGCCTTCGACGCGCGACAGTGGGAGGACGAGGAGCTGCTGCTGATGCTGCAGACGATGTTCGTCGAGCTCGATCTACCTCAAAAATTCAACATTCCCTTGCCGATTCTGAGGAACTTCCTCTACGAGGTTTACAATAACTACAACGAGGTGCCGTTTCACAATTTCAGGCACTGCTTCTGCGTGGCGCAAATGGTGAATATTCCCTTCATCTTCGCTCTAACTCGCACGATTTCCCCGCGAAGACAATTAACAATTATGCGGCGGCGTAACTGCAATTACAAGTTGATACGGGAGGAAATGTATGACGTTGATATTACAAGCGTGACAAACGGTATTGTAATTACGACGGACACTAATAGTTTGATTACACCTATTAATCGGCGTACTGCATTGTTCCGCCGTACAATACAATTAAATTACTTCCCGATCGATTAAAGTACATGCATGTAGTAGCTGTAGATTGAATTGAGTTATCGGCTTAGCGCTAACCGATTGTACGCAGATGTACGCGATAGCCTGGGCGGTGGACCTTCCGTCGAAGATCGGCGACCTCGAGGTCCTCATACTGATTGTCTCCTGTATCTGCCACGATCTCGACCATCCGGGCTACAACAATATTTATCAGATAAACGCGAGGACCGAGCTGGCGCTGCGCTACAACGATATCTCGCCCCTCGAGAATCATCATTGCTCCGTGGCATTTCGGGTTCTGGAGGCGCCCGAGTGCAACATTCTCGCGTCCTTGGACAATTCTACGTACAGAATAGTGCGCGAGGGCATCATAAGGTGCATCCTGGCGACCGACATGGCCCGGCACAACGAGATCCTCGGCCAATTTACCGACGTCACTCCCGAATTCGATTACACTAGCAAGGCGCACATAAATCTGGTAATTGGTGGCTGATTAATCAAGTATTTAATGGGACACTTAATGGGACATTGAATTTCCCAATTACGCTTCGCAGCTGTCCATGATCCTGATCAAAGTGGCTGACATAAGCAACGAGGCACGACCGATGGAAGTCGCGGAACCGTGGCTGGACAGATTGCTTCAGGAGTTCTTCAAGCAGAGCGACGCGGAGAAACTCGAGGGTCTTCCGGTCACGCCCTTCATGGATCGCGATAAAGTGACCAAGCCGTCCTCCCAAGTTAGCTTCATCGGCCTAGTTCTCCTCCCTCTCTTCGAAGCCCTCGGCGAACATCTACCCGAGCTGCAGGTATCTTATCTTCTCATATAGACTAATTTATCTGCGCCCGGAGTGAATTAATTAACAGGATACAATTAGGAAAAATGTTAATCTTTAAACAATTAATAAAATTCATGAGGCTCTGATGTGAAAACACAAATATAAAGTAATAAAGTGTTAAGAGCCAAGACAAGATGTTGGTGTCTAAATGATTTTAATTTTTAAATTTATTGCGAAAAATTAAAATCATTTAGACACCGACATCTTGTCTTGGCTCTTATTCCTTTATTACTTTGTATTTGTATTAATCTTTCAATATCCATAATTAAATCCGAATGAAATTCTGTTTTCCAGGATCTCATAGTTCAACCGGTCAGGGAAGCTCTGGAATACTATCGCAGACTGAACGAGGCGGCCAAAGACGAGCGCCATCATCGGAAAAGCGTCGTGGACGTCGGGGAGTCGGCCCTGTCCAACGCGCCAATCGGCACCGGCAGTTCGTCTGCCATTATCAAGTCCACGTCATCGCATAGCATGCGCTCAAAAAGGTCCGCTACGACAATTCATTCGCGTTCGCGTTCCACCGACGACGATATTACAGAAAACTTGACGTTGGAAGAAGCGGAGAACATTGAGAGCTCTGATCCGGAGACCGCCACGGAGGTGGAGGTCAGCGAAAAGACGCTCAAGTTCAAGATCGCCACGGAGGGCACGCTGGCCGGCCCTACCTCTGGTCGGAAGAGCTATCCCGGTAGTCGGAAGGGCAGCCGGGAAAAGTCCTCGTTGGATTATCACAATCACGACCTGGCCAAAGCTGTCCGGGATCACGAGCGCGAAAGGAGACGCAGCAAGGGTGAGAATCTCGGCAGTAATCTGAGCTCGCCGGTGAGCGCGAGGTCTGCCGAGGGTACGCGAATTCTCGAGGAGATGGAAAGGGAGACAATTTTTTTAGACGCCAAAATTGAGAGCAAAACGCCCGAGGGAAACGGTAATGTCGTCGCGGCGGAGGCGGCCCGCTCGCAGCCGAAAAACAACGTGAGGAAAACCAGCAGTATCATAGAGAACGATCAGGAGATCAGACCTAGCCGCAAAGATGCGCACAGTAGTCGGGAATCAATCGGTCTGCGATGTTGCTGCGACGACAAAACTGGGCCGAATAACAAGTCTCTATTCTCGCGGTTGAGAAACTTGACGGATCGCCTGAGCATGAGCTTCGACTCCAAGGACTCGCCCAGTCCGAAACCGAAACACGCGTCGAAGATGCTCAACAAGAGCAACTCGATTAGCAGCGGTTCGGCGACGACCACCACGTCGAGGCACAATAACTCCTTCATTTGCAAGCGCTGCAACCTGATCAAGTCCTCGGTAAAGGACGGCAAAGCGGCCATCGCAACCGTGGTGGAGTTGTCGCCGGTGGACAAACGGGCGATGACTCTGCCGAAGGTTCGAAAGTCTACGGATAGTAAGAATAGGAGCTGGCGAACTGTATTTGCCAAGGAGAAGAGATCGTCTACTTCTTTGGAGGCACTGCCGGCAGCCGGCTCTCGTTCATTTTCCAAGCACCGTAGAAACCTGTCGAATCCCGAGGGCAAGTCGCAGAGTCTGAAGGAAGCAAAGACTCGGCAAGCCCTGGACATCGAGTTCCATGAGATCGATGTTCGTTCGAAAAATCAACAACAGCCTGAAATTATTGTCAATCCCGACGACACCTGTTGCGATATCGAGGAAGATCTCGGAAAGGTGGAAATCAGAAGAAGTTCGGCCAGCATGGAAGATATCTCTAAAATGGCAAAGCAGGCAGCGGAGGCTACCGTACTGGGCATACTGGATCCCAAGAAGGCGGAGGAGCGTCCTCACGGTAGTTTGGACTCGATGCTCTGTAAAGAGATATCCAAGTCACGGAAGAAGCATTCCAATGTATTCTGCTCGCCCGCGACGACGAAGAAGTCGTCGCCTGGACTGTTCTCGCGATTTAAATCCGGCATGAGCATCGACAGCACCCGGAGCAACAGCAACAGCGACTCCTTGCACGATCACGGCTCGCAAAGCGGCTGGATATCCTCATTGACGGCTAGCTTGCGGCCGAAGAGACATCCGAACGAAACACCGCTGTCGCCACATCCACCGAGGTCGCCCAGCAGGGAGGAGATCAAGTGATACGTCCTGGTGGTCGAGGATTCCTCTGATAAGAAGCTCAGCCTCCGCGGCTGGTGGCCTGAGAACTTGTTCTGCTGCAACAGCTAAGACTCGAGCGAGAAAGTTCAGTGTCTAGAGAGGCTAATTTAGACCCAGAAATATCCGGGAAAATCGCCATTGTATTAGTAACGCGTGAAAAAGGAAATTAGTAAAATGGTTTTTAAAAGATTTTTAAGAAATTTAAATTTTCTAATGCAGGCATTAATCCCGCGTGATTTTCATCGCGATTTTAATTGTCGCTAATAGATTAATAATTGCGGTGGTTAAATCATTAATCGAACGCGTCGACGGTATTCGATGAATCTATTTTGCGAATTGTATTATAAATTCTCGCGAGTAAATTCGCAGCGGTCAATGTCGCAGCGCACTACGCATCTGTAATATATAAATTAAATATTTCTCCGTGGTGTACTGTCAAAAAACGGTCAATTTGAACGAACATATTTGCTCGAGCACGCCATTTGTCAAGGAAACGTTAGATATACGTAATTGTATGATTACCGATTAAATTAAATTCTTGCGGAGGAATCCTGAGACCGACCACGATTTTGTGTCATCGACTTTGAGTGTTTTACGTCACGACGATCGAAGTCGTAAGAGGTGAGATACGTTTATTTGTGAGAGGCATCTACGGCCTGCGGGATATGAGGATGTACGCTGTATACATAAACTATTTTATTTATTGTCCAATTAAAGAATAGCCTAATGAGTAATCATTAATGTTGTTCGTTACTATATATATATACACATACATACACATACATACGTATATGTATATGTATGTATATATATGAAAAGTGCAGATGTATACAAGACGTAAGGATATACACATATCCATCGTGCATAAAAAAAAAAATATATACACCTAAATCTATAATATACACGAGCAAGTGGATAATTATAAATAGACAAAAAGGAAAGAGGAGGAGAAGACAAACAAGTAGATATGTATAAGTGTGGCTCTGTCATATATGTACGATTAAATTTCAAGAACTGTGTAACCAAGGATGTAAGGTAAGAGAATACTCTTTGTCAGACTATTTTTAGAATATTCTGAGAATGATCGTGTATTTTCAGACAATATTCTCAAAGTTTTCTGGAGTTATTACCGTTTCCTCCCAAAGTACACGATTATTTTGAGATTATTCTGAGAGAGAGAGACATGTATATTCTCGAATCCTAGAATATTCTCCGATTATTTTCACTCGCGCAAAGACTATCTTCATTCTCATAAAATCAGCAGTTGCCACGACGAAAAGAGAAAATGGGATTGTATCGGAATAATTACTGTACCGTTTGTCGAGAACGATTCACGCGGTAGAAAATCTCGTCGATCTATTTGATCGTTCGAAGAATGCTGGGAGAGACCTACCTTTTATCCAGCTGCGTACTAAAGTGTAATCCAACTTGGAAAATGATTTGTTAAACTTTTAACTGGCGTATTAATTATGGAGGAGAGATTTCGAGGAGAAATTTGTCTAAAATTTCTCGAAAGAGATTGACGGAACTTTTGCGAAACGTTCTCAGCATTTCTTTGAACGTGGCAAGAAAGAGTACAATTTCGAAAAAGGGAAGCGTGCCATCTAATGGCTCTCTTCTCGACGAACTGTCAGCTCCTGCGATTATTCCGTTCAAAAAATTCAGGCGTAAATTGGATTATTAATATACGAAATGATGCATGCGGTTACTTTTGTATGGCGTCCTGCTTTTCATGTTTAGCTGTTTATACTTTTATACTTTATCAATTGCGTTTGTACGGCGATTAAATACCGTATGTATTGTTGAATTCTAGTCTTACGTTATCGTCTTTAAAGCAAAAGTTAGTTTTGGGCGCGTTTTTCCTGCGACGGTCTTCGTGAGAAGAAACTCGACGTGTGCGTGAATGAACAAACGAGTGAACGATTCTACCAATTATTTGACCGAGTATCTCTCTCTCTCTCTCTCTCTCTCTCTCTCTCTCTCTCTCTCTCCCCCCCCCTTCGTCCCTCTCTCCCTCCGTCCCTCCCTTCCTCCCCCTCTCTCTCATTCACTCACTCTCTCTCACTTTTGCACTCACTCACTCTTTCTTTTTCCGTGCCATATAATCAGGACTCGTCAATTGAACCAAATAGAAATGCATTTACAATTAAACGCATTATGACACAAGCAGAAAAGCCAAGTGTAAAACCGTAAAATAATCAATTTTACTTTTAAATTGTATGTACATAATAGGAAATAAAGATTGCGTTAGGCACGCAATCTTGTTATTATATTAATTTTTGATGTTTTAAAAACCGGATACTTATATGAGGCAGTAAATCTTTTATAACCCTTCTACGAGTCTCAAAATTAAATTAGTGCATTCATTTTTCTATGATGTAAGAAAGCAGCTATCAAAAGGATAACAAGACTTTAAGAAAAGGAACAATTGAAATAAATAGAAAAATGTAATTATGAGAAAGGGGCGTCAATGTATGTAGTGACGCATATTATAATGATAAATAATCAAATTTTAAATCCGTGATTGGATGAAAAAAGCCATTTGATTTTAATTCTCGAGTCAAGACTACTGAATAATTGTAGAGATAAAATTTCACTAATTTAATTAGTGAAATTAAGATTGGAATTTTCAGTCTTAATTAGATTTTGTTAGAATCAATAAGATTATATGAAATATTTCAATAAGTAATTTTACATGAAATGAATAATGTGAAAATATTGTTACTTCACACAAAATTCTTAAAATTTTGTTTTCCAAGTCTAAGGGATACTAGACTATTTGCAACTTGTCAATAAGAAAATATCAAACTGCAATTTGCCGAGTTGTATAACTTAAAGTTGAACAGAATAATTAAGGGTTTTTTAAAAGAATCATATCACGAGATATCCCTATTTCTATTTCATATTCTAAAAAAAATCAGATGCACTTTTTTCATTCATATCGCTTGCTCTTCGTGCCTGATCATTATTAATGTTGAAGACCGATATTAGAAAAAGGTACCCAGATAGCTAATCATTTTTTAAACTTTTTATAATTACAAGATAGTGGAAAAGATTTAATTTCTGGATTTTAATCTTTCAAAAATATGTTCTATATACAGAGATAAAAATTATTCAATAAAATGATTGTTAAATTTATTAAACGAATGCTTGTAAAAAGAAAATCATCTCAACTTTTGGAACTGTCTGAAATATCATGCAAATGCTTCTTTTACAAAGAAAAGTGTTAGTATTTTTTTCCGAACTTCTTCGAAGTCTTCAAATTCAATAGCATCAGCATATCTTTGGGGGTACTTTTTCCAAAACTAGTCATGTTTATCTAAAATTTCTTACTTATTCGTCTTTCTCCATCATTTCTCAAAGACTTACTTAAAACATAATCAATTTTCAACGATTTTAAGAGGAAAACCAATTAATATATTTAAACTAAAGTTTTACAAACTGTGGAATAAAATTCGATTTGTAAAGTCGTCGAAATGTTAATCATCGCATCTCCGGTGTCTAACAGTTAGAAATGCATAATAAATGAATAGAAAATGAATAAATTAATAAAATGAAATGGAATGCAATGGGCCAATCGAGCCGTGTTATATACGGCATCGTTTTATTCGTCAATTGAATCTTTAGTCATATTAGAATTTTTCTCGTATTCCAATTATCGTCGTCAATTATTGGGATAAAATACACTCAAGCTTCAAATATATTTATAGCTACATACATTCGCATAATCCATTCCGATTTCCATCTCCAAGTTAATGTTGAAAAGAAGAAATCGGTGTTTACGCTTGACTTTATTTATTATTTATACCAAAATTATCGCAATTCATTGTGTGTATACGACAATTTTGTTTAACCAAAGTTACCAGTTTTTAAAAAGCTCTATTTTAGAGCTGATATTAGCATTCAGGGGGAAGTAAAGGGAAGTTTTAGAAGTTTTGCTTCTGGAGAAAGTTTTCACCTCTTCCACGCTTTCCTTGCGTATTCGATAAAAATACAACGCCTTGATGTTAGTATGAAACAAATTTGATTTACTACTTAGCTGTCGAATATATTTTTACATATAATTATTACTGATGATTAAATTACATTATTATAGTCATGGAATAATTGCTTTATGGTCACATCGATACCAATTACTGTTCAAAAGTAATTCGCTCTAATAACGCCATTCCTTGTTTGGAATCCTTTCGAGTGTTTGATAATTATTATTATATAGTAATTGATAATTATCTAAAATAATTAACAAGCGCTCGTATAAAATGTTTCCATAACAACGTGTTCGTAGAAGTGGCGTGAGCGAAATCTCGATGTATAATGCACACATTTGAATAAATCGCGGCTATAAAAATGTTAAATAGTGCAGCTTCGTTAACAACTTTTCCAGATTGTGACTAATATTATTTTTAAACAGTTTCGTGTAACGTGGTATTCTCAAATTCTAATATCAAATTTCTCGATGTGCATTCTTCGTGATCTCGAATAAATTGGATCACGTGGACGATTTCGCGTTTGCAAGATCCGTTCTTCGTTTCTCGCCGCTCCTTTCCCACAGGGCGTTAAAGTAAGTCACCGATTGCCAAGAGAAAAGAAAGAAGGAAATCAGTCGTGATCGTTGCATCGGTCTCATCGTTAGGGGAATATTAATTGCAATTGAAATTTATGCGTACGACGTAATTTGTATGCATGTGAGAACGTGTATATACATCTCGTATATATGTACAGATATATGTGGTGTATATATCTGTATTTATATCGATATAAGATAATTCGATAAAAATGAAATATCCTATATACATCTGTGTGTATATGTATGCATGATATATACATGTATATACGTACGTGCATATACATATACATAATGAACAAAAGTAATTATATATACGTAAATGAATAAGTAGATTATATATATTTACCTGATATACGAAGAGAGCTATAAGTGGAGAAGAACAAAAAATACAGTTAATGCTCGCGGGCGAGTTACTAGCGCGATATTATAACGTTATTATATCGATATTACATTACGATATTACGGTATTGTGTATGGATGAAGCGTGTAAAATTATGTGTGTAAAAATATCGATGGAAATCCCACACGCGTATTGCAGAAAGGGTGTACTGATTTATTCTTGTTCAGTGGCGGCGTATTTATTTCTTTTCGCGTTTGCATTTAGAGCCAATGATATTTGTTTCGACGCTAATACGAGAATTATCTCGAAACGAAATTCAACCTCTATCGCGCGTATTTAATTAAAAATATTTAACGCGATCGGATAAATTTGAAATAATTCCCTCACTTTTGTTTACCTTGCGGAGAAACAAAATAATTAATGTCCCAACTGAAATTATAATATTTCTACATCTTCCTAACGACAGTAAGAAATTATCACAATGCAATAATTTATGTCAAATAGCGTTAGAAATAAAAATATTTCAGTCTTAACGAAACCTTTGCAGTTTCTTGCTTTCTATCGGTTTATTAGTTTTTTCATTCAGTAATTTCGAATTTTGACATACTTCAGAAAAAGATGTAAAAATGTACTTGATAATTGATGCACTAGCATCTAGTGCATATTATTTTGATCGCAGTCATATTGATGTGAAAAAAAGATACAAACCTGTTCTTTCAGCCCTGTAGTCTGTATAGTTAGAATATAATATGTTTTCAGATATAATCCTCTCGATCCCGTTGAGTTATGTATATGATAAGCATTCCTATGAAATATATGCGATCGGAAGGATTAAATCTGAGAAAGGGAATAATTTAATCTGCTTATGTATATGACATATGTAAGCGTGTATTATTTATATTACGAATTAAAATGGTCGCAATTCGTACTATAATAAAGTCCACCGTCGCTGAACACAACGCGCGAGAAGAAAAAATATAAATATATATATATATAAAAGTTGAGATATATATATATATATATAAAAGGTACTATCGATATATGGTATCACTTATTCCATTCGATTCCAAGATGTCATAGTTATATTACAGAAGCATAATTGTAAGTAAATTCACTAGGTCGATCGCTCGGCGAGTAGCTCGTCCGTGCGACCGATCATTAGTCTTTTTGTAAATGAGAATAAGTGAATGAAAATGGATAATATACATAGTTGTATATATGTGTATATATATGCGTATATATGCATATATATGTATATCTATGTAAGTATGTATGTAAGTAAGTATGTATGTATGTATGTATGTATGTATGTATGTACACACACACACACACACACACACACACACACACACACACACACACATACACACATCATCGCATGAACATGTGACCGGCTGCTCTCGTGGCTGCCTCCTATATATATTTACAATGTCGACGAATAAAGGAAAAACCATCATTCTGCCGGTGATGAAGAAATATTTGACAAAAATCCCTCCCTATATTATTATCGTTTGTAATTAGCAATAGATAAGAAAGGTATATTTTAGATTTAACATTGGTGGTTATAGAGTTACATGATCGTAAAATTGAGCAACTCTAAGAGTTGAAATACATTTTCGACTGCCATTCTGCGGCAATCTGAGTACGTTGAAATAAGAACCAAAGTTTTTTGGTAATAAAAATTATATTTCCCCATTTATTCTTACAGATTAATCTAGAAATGGTAAACGTTAATGTACGAAAACTTACTCAGCAGCATTAATTTTTCGTAAGTTGAGATATATTACACCGTCCAAGGGTGATGTCATAGCTATTGCCGGATCAATTATCACTGGTATTGTTGTTTTTTTGCATGGTGCCACTTCATATTTATTTAAGAGTTTCATTAGCGTAAACTTCATTATTAAATATCCGAATCGAGTGCCTGCAAAATGTAAATGTTAATATATAATTTACCACATTTTTCTAACAAAAAATAATTTGCGATTTTATTTTGTTATTTCACAACTTTTCAATTAAAACTATTGTTGTGATTTCGTAATTATAGAAATAATAGTTTTAATTATTCTATAAATACAAAATCTATTTAGACTAAAAGTATCAATCGATATTATTACTAATAATATGACTTAATTGCATCAATAATTAGGCCATCGTAGTTCATGTCTGATTTCTTTATTTCTGATTTCCGTATTGCGCAATCTGTACACGTAAAAAATATTTTAACGTTTATGCTACTCGGTATTTTCAAATTCAATTCAAATGCAATTCGTTCATAATTTGCCTAAATATAAAAATATAGATTTGTGTAAATATAAAGCATATCATCTATTTTCTTGCTTATTCTAATTTTACATGTGAATGGTAATATCAAATTCTTCTTGATATGACAATTAAAATCGACTTCCTCACCTATACACGCATGTGGGCCCTCTCCGAATGGGAAATAAACGCATGCCGGTATATTACGTTTATTCTTCTCATTGAATCGCTCCGGATCGTATTTATCAGGATCGGGGAAATATTTTGGATCATAGTGTAGCCCAAGCATCGGGATATAAACAGGCGTGCCTTTTTTTAGTACGAGATTAGAATTCGGTACTTTATAATCTTGCATCGCAATACGATTCAGGAATCCCAATGATGGATATTTTCTCAAAGTTTCCAATACTACCATATCCAGATAGGATAGCGACGTGATCTAATAAAGATTGGAACGTATTATTTTTACATCGGAGCTTTATCCAGTTTTAAGATTTGCACAGAAATAAAATCAATGGACGAAAGAAGTATGTGATTTAACAAAGGACGTTAACAATACTTGTGTAGCATTTGTTACAAAACTTATTTGACGAAGTAGCACACGATATTTGAGTTACCATGTCGTATGTGATGTTTCCGTCGGAATTGTTAAGAGCCTCGATTATTTCTTTTCTTAGCGTGCTTTGAATTTCAGGTTGCAATGCGAGTTCGTACAATGTGAAAGCAATGGGTACTGCGGAAGTGTCGAAACCAGCTGAGAAGAAACTGGCCGCTTGTGCCATGAGGTCATCCCCATCGAATTCTAAAATTTAATTTATTTGTGGAGTTTTGAAGGCTCTTCATATTTGCCGCGATTAAAGTTGTTTAACGTAATTATTAACTTGCTTATTCTAATTTTGTCAATCCAATCCATTAATTACACATCTTTATATATTTAAGGATATATTTATATAAATATAATAATTTTGCTTACTGAAGCCTTCAATCTCTTCATTACTATTGTTCTTCTTGAGCTCGATCAGAATATCGATGAGGTCGTATCTCTTTTCGCCGGACTCCATGCGCCTATTGATTGTCTCCCAGAAAATTTTGCGTAAATATTCGGTGGTCTCTTCACCGAACAATTTGACTTTAGTTATACGAGCTAGTTCTGGAAGGAAGAACATAGCAAGCCACTCCCATCCGCGCCTGTAATTGTTTTTAAAAATCTTTTTGCCATAATTGCGAAAATCACTGGTTGGATCTTTAAAACAGTTCACGTCGAGTCCGTAAGCAGTGCTGCTGATTATATCCATGGTTAATTTGGAACTTATATCTTTTACATCTATAATTTGCCCCATACCTGCCGGCAATGTCATTAGTTGATGAAATCTGTTTAACTGTAGATATTATACTGACTTTCACATTTTTATTATTATTTGCTCATATTTTTCCAGGCGTGGAATAACATAAAATGTTTTTAAAAATTTGACGTATCTCTACAAGTGTTTATTTCACGAATTGTTCAATATATCCTTCAACTTACCATCCAATTTCAATGAGTCAATATAATCATCTAAATGCTTTCCGCATTCTAGCATTAGGTCAAACATTTTCTTCAGTTTATTGGTTGTAAAGAATGGCGTCAATTTCGTTCTTATAATTTTCCAGGCTGGATTTTTGATGAAGAAGAGGTTGGCGGAACCAATACGATCATTTGGATCGCTCGAAGCGTATCGATTGAAGAAGATGTTGAAGTCTTTTATCATGACATTCTGAATAATTTCGCGATCGCGAAGCAACAAGTAGGGCTTGTCGAAAACGTAAAAACCAATATAAGGTTCGTCCTTCGCTCGCTCGTAGAGTTCTTTTAGGAAATATGCTGGTGGTTTCTTTAGAAGTAGACATTCCATAAAATTGCCCACAAATGGTGTTGGCGTTATTTCCATAACGCCTTGTTTTTCCCAGTACTTAAAATTGCGAGTCATATAAAGATAAGCGATTATAATAAGAGTTGCAAAAATTATAATGCCATCCAGGCCCCAGTAATCTGTTATTATCGCCATTACGCAGCGTCTGCAAAAAAATTTTTCTAGTACCTGTATAAAAGTATAGGATGTTATATTTTAATAATTTAATAATTTTAATAATAACAGTAAAAAATATTGGTTAATGAGTAATCGGTTTAAGACCTGACATTTAATTAAAAAAATGCTTTCGGGCGCTTCAGTAGTTTAGGTGCTTTGAGAAAAATGTCCATCGGATAAACCAATTAAATAGTGTTTCCTATGGTTAATTTTACCGATTACGTTTTCCGATTAAATTACGGATACATCCGATAATATTTATCCGATGAAATTTGCTCGAAAAACTGAACATATTTTTCATCAGATATATCCGTTTGTTATTTTGAAATTGGATTATCCGATTATATTTAATCGGGCATTCTACTCACAATCAGTGTACGTTTTACGCAAAGTGCGTGTGAAGAATTTTATTTGTAATAACATGATTATTTCGTTATCAATGTTTCGAAACCTAACGAAAAACATTAAACATCCCGTCTAGCTATCAACCGTGACGTTCAGCTTTAAGATTTTTATTTCTAATATTAATGTTCCATCTTATTTATAGTATTTCAATAATTTACATTGTGTTTATGTTGTATTATATTTTGATAATGAGTAATTTTTTACTACTTTTAGTATTTTTTAATAGCAAATATTATTAAAATTTTAGTTTTATGAGACTGATAGATTATATATAACAAACCTTAAAAAAACAGGATTTAAAATACTGAGTATTTTATTTATTTATTAAGTAAAAATTAATTAATTAAAATGCTGATTGGGTAATAAAAGTAAAAACGCGGGTAATGTTACCTGAGTTATCACGTATATTCGATTACACTTCGTGACCTTTTCGACTCCCTTTTAAATCATCCTCACAATGTTAATTCAAACAGTATAGAACTTACAATTTTAGTTAGTCTAGATGGAAAGTGCTTCTAGATTCCTTAGTTTATAAGCAGATAAAATACTTTTATGTCGAGCGGTTAAAGTCAACTGTTCGGGACAAAAAGGTGACTCGAAGATATATGTTGGATGGACGTTCCCACACAGCATTTTACATTTCAACTACATATATAGTAAGCAGATACATGAAATTTGAATATTGTTATATCAGATACATAATACGTAGGAATCATGTACGAGATACATATTTAATATCGATAAGTGCCCCATATACATGTAATTTACGTTATGCATTATGAAAGATGAGATATACAGGGTGTATTCTAATTCGCGCTCATATTTTTTCGAGTCAGATTAGTCACTTAGTAGTTATTTCGTAGTTATTTCGTAAAATCATTTATGTGAGAATTGTTTCAAAGTTTTACTTATTCTTTACATTAATACGTGCAAAATAAGACTAATTAAATTAAAATTGGCAGACTCAAAGTTCCAAAAAAAAGTTCAAACTTTTTTTCGGAATTTGTCAGACTCAAAGTTATAAAAAAAATCTTGAAACACCCTGACAATCTGAATCGCGACAAAGGCTATCAGGTGAGCCCGATATGGCATACCGCCCTCCCGGTTTTTTAAAAAAACTCAGCTGGCATAGGCTGACCCCCCTCCCTTCCCCCCCCCCCAAGAACGAGTATAAAAGGACTAGCGCAACGCGAGGGAGCTCAGTATCAGAGTCTCCCAGCCCTGATGAAGCAGACTGCAACGCCTGAAACGTCGGCACCACACTGCAAACGGACGCGGCAACCATCCGGAAGCCATGAAGACTAAAGAAGACAACAGCCGCGAAAGCCCGAAAGCCAAGATTCTAAAAAAAATGTTAAATCGTTTTTTTCAGAATTTTGAGACTGTCAATTTGAATTTAATTAGTTTTCTTTTGCACACATTAATGTAAAGGATAAACTGTAAAACTTTGAAACAATTCTCACATAAACGATTTTACGAAATAACTACCTTAGTTATAAAATATCGTGATAATTTATAATGACTCTCCTTGTAAAATCAGATACTTCGAGTTTACTGATGGTGTTCACAAACAAAAAAGTATCAGAAAATTAAATTTAATATAAAATTTAAAGATAAGTTAAAAAATAGCTACTGTTTATACCGTATCGCTTTGATACGCAGTGATATACCATATCATAATACATATAATATGATATTCTTGACGTTTGGAGCTGCGTTGAAAAAATGATCATATTGTAAACGCACTCGTATCACACTCTCTTGATTATTAGTCAGTAATTGCTTATTTTCGTTGTAAGATAAATGCGTAAAAAGAGATATACTTCTCGCTGTAAGTACTTTTGTATGATAACATATGCGGGAGAGCATGCGTTAACAAACCAGTATTTTGCATAAATGTATTATCAATTTTAAAAGATAACATATCCGAGAGGGCATGCATTAGTAAACCAATGTTTTCTCTAATGTATTATCAATTTATGCTGCAACTTATGTGCAACAAACATGGACACTTTATTCTTACAATATATTTATTTCTTGTATATTTAATCACATACAAATGTATTAATAAAACGTTAGTTGCATTTCGAGTAAAGAAATAATTATACATATTTTTTTGGCTCAAGAATATTCTGTCAAGGTTTAAGTAGTCTTGGTATTAATTTTTCGGAAATTGAGATATATTACGCCATTTAACGGCACAGTCATGGCCCCTCGTGGATCAATTTCCACTGGTATCGAAGTTTTTGCACACGGTATCACCTCGTATTTACTCAAGATCTGAAGCAGTGTTAACTTCGCTTGCAAAAGTCCGAAGCGATTGCCTGCAAAATATTTTATATTATATTTACAAGGAAGCAATAATATATTAGTAACTTAATATATATGTATAGCGATTATATTAAAATTATCTTACCTATACACGCATGTGGGCCCTCTCCGAATGGAAAATAGACACATGCCGGTCTGTTACGTTTGTTCTCCTCGGTAAATCGTTCCGGATCGAATTTATTAGGATTGGGGAAATATTCGGGGTCATAATGCATGCCAAGCATTGAGATGTAAACTGGTGTACCTTTCTCAATTACGAGATTATACTCCGGAGCTTTATAAGTTTGCATAGCCATGCGATTTACGTATCCCAATGGCGGGTACATTCTCAAAGTTTCTGAGATCACCATGTCGAGATACGGTAATGACCATGCCTGGTAAAACAATGTACAAACATATTTTTTCCATATTTAAATTAAGATTACAAATAGTCATACTTTAAGACTTTATTGTGATTTTAAATTTTATTTTTCGTAATTTAAAATTTATGTTTTCCCTATATTATAAATCATATATAAATATAAGATTTAAGAATATACACATACTACTAAAAATAATCTATAAATATGAAAAATTTAGAAGAGAAAAATAGCGGATGATGATCGCATACCATATCGTATGTAATCTTTCCATTAGATTTCTGGAGCCCCTCGAGAAGTTCTTTTCGTAGAGTGTTTTGAATCTGGGGTTGTATCGCGAGTTCGTACAACGCGAAGGCCGTAGTCGTTGAAGAGGTTTCAAAACCAGCTGAGAAAAAACTAGCTGCTTGTGCCAAGAGATCATCGCCATCGAATGCTGAAATTTAATTCGTAGATTTTTTAACTTCTATTGCTTGCTACAAATAACTTTCGCCATTAAAATTATTAATCAGATGTCTGTCAGTTAATTGTAAAAATATTTGCATAAACTTAGCCGAGTTAATTGTAGTTTGCTTACTGAAATCTTTGAGGCTCTGATCATTGCTATTTTTGAGTTCGAGAAGGATATCGACGAGGTCGTTCCTTTTTTCGCCAGATTTCATACGTTGTGTGAGCGTCTCCCAAAACACTTTACGCATAAACTCAGTGGGCTCTTTGCCGAACATCTTTATTCGTATCAAACGGACTATCGATGGGAGAAAAAATATCGCGAGCATTTCAAAGCCGCGGAAGGCGTCATACTGAAATATCATCTTGCCATATTTGCGAAACTCTGCGTTCGGATTTTTGAACGAATTTACGTCGAGTCCGTAAGCGGTGCTGCCGATTATATCCGTGGCAAACTTGGCGGTTAATTCTCTCACTTCTATCGTCTTTCCGTCTTTACCTGCCATCAATGTTGACTTAATTTGCGTATTTATGAATATCTTACATTAATTCCCATATTTTCACCATGAAAGAAAATTAATATATGAAATAAATTATTTTCTGAGATCATTAAATCTAGCTTCTATATTGAGAAAACTTTTCAGCACAAAATTTGAATCGATTTTAGTGACAATTTAATAAATAAATAAATTTAGAAAATAAAAATTTTTAATGAAAGAAAACATATTTTACTATTAATTTATATTTAAGCCTGCTGAAATATGTTTATAATTATCAGTTGTTATTATTATATGTAGTTACAACTTTGTTATACTCTTTAATACTTAGATTTCATGTTTATGCTTGAATTATTCAAAACTTACCTTCCAAGTTTAGCGAATCAAGATATTCATCTAAATTGTTTACGCATTCTAGCATCAAATTGAACATTTTTTTCATTTTGCCAGACGTAAAAAATGGCGTTAGTTTCGTCCTTATCGTTTTCCAGGTTGGATTCTTCATAAAAAAGAGATTTGCATAGCCTATACGATCGTTCGGATCTGCCGTGTTGTATCGATCGGAGAAGCAATTGAAATCTTTCACTAAAATGTTCTTGACTAATTCTCGATCGCGAACCAGCAAGAAAGGTTTGTCCAATACGTAGAAGCCCATATAAGGTAGTTCCTTTGTTTCTTCGTAGAGCTCTTTTAGGAAATATGCCGGGGCTTTCTTCAGGAATAAACATTCTTTGAAATTGCCAAAGAAAGGTGTCGGTGTCACTTCCAAAATGCCCCGTTTCTTCCAGTACTTGAATTTACGTGTCATGTAAAGGTAGGCGGTTATCATGAGAGTCATCAGAACTAATATGCCATCCAGGCCCCAATAAGCCGTTATCAGTGCCATTTTGCAGCTGCTCTATAAAAATATTTCTTTTTGCACTGACGTGAAAGTAAAAAACCTTACAATTCAATGACTTGCAATTAAAATTGATGATGAATAGTTACTGTAACTTTAACAATACGCTACCGGTTGCATTCAAAAATTAATGATGGTGTTTTCGACATTTGAAAATCTACTTTGTTAGTGCATCTAAAAGCATACATCCGTCACAAATAATTGTCACTTAATTGCGGCACGATGAAGTACATAACTTGATCGATTTGTGACAAAAGAACGTAATATTATCAGAGAGTTAAGAGACTAATTCAGGTTTCATCGACATATTAAGGTAGTTGTTTCGCGACAGTAATGTGCTCAAAAGTTTCTTTCAGAGAGAAACCAGCACTCAATTATTACAATGATATATCTTGATGCAATATTGTTCTAAAGAAAAAATAGATTCGAAAGATTATACTTTGAGGCACTATTGTCACATCTCTTACACTACACTCATGTCTATTACATAATTCTTTCCATTTATCAGTTTTAACTGCTTATATTGTTGAAACGGAACGGCCAACAATTTTGATTTTTTTCCAGTTATTCGTTCTATTTCACTTTATAACATATGTATTTGTTTCTCATACAAATCTCACTCACTGTTAAACTTAAAAAAAAAAGTGTCATCATTTGCGTTTGCAAACGCAAATATTAATATTTTAAGACATAATAATATGTGTAAATAATATTTTACGTGTAACAATGTTACAACGAATTATATTGTTATGTGTAATATTTTAAACGAGTTTTACATGTAATATTTCGTGTAACATAGCAAACTTTAACTTTTTTTTTTAGAAGTTTGAGACGGTCAATTTTCATTTAATTAGTCTTATTTTGCACGTATTAATGTAAAGAACAAACTGTAAAAACTTGAAACAATTCTCACATAAATGATTTTACGAAATAACTACCTTAAACTGACTTTCACCGTTGAGCAGAACAAAAAATATTTGAAAACTACAACACTGAATATAAATGCACGTACAACAATTTTTACAAGTTACAGAAGTGGAATAAACTTCAGCGACATGCGCGGAGCTGTATTTATGCGTTGCGTGTAACTGGACTTGTTCTCAGCACAATTATGCAACTTCCCTCTCTCAGCTTCTCTGTTTTTCCTTATCGTATCAACATACATAATTATCTTAATGAACGTCTGCAATTATACCAGCAACTTATAATCACTGTTTTTTATTCAAGACTGTCTTGCTATTTCTATCCGTCAAGAGATGTCATTTTCATAATTATCTATAGTTCCGTGCAGTTTATAATCAATCGGCAGACATTAACTTAGTACGTACCAATAATTCGATTTGTGTTCAGTTAATCGTTTTATGCAGCGATTTCAAACAATTAAACTTTGATTTATTACACATGAATAGCCGTTATGATTGCCATTGTACACAGTTTACCTATAAAAACATTTCTTTTTATATTTACTTAAAAAACGCAAGTGATAATATGAGTAAAAAAGTTAATGTTCACGAGTTTATTAATTGATGTTGCAAATATGTGGACCGACTGATTCCGAGATGCTGTGAAGTAAGTAATAAATAAAGAAAATTATATTGTGATTCGTACAGTGCCAGGGCCGCGTGTCGAGGCTTACTTGACAAAGTAGTACTATCCACTTTTCAATCTCGGTTGACACTTGTGCAAATCATCGGTGATGCAATGTTTGAGCTGGATAATCGTTTGATCGATGAGGAGAACTTCCTCGGTGTTGTGTCATTATAGAAATTAATAGTGTCTTACGAATGTACCAAGCGGGTGATGCTGAGACTCACTCAGCGGAGGAAAAACACATCTACACGGAGAAAATTTTCTTTTAAAATCTACCCTGAAAATCATGTAATCGTGGAACAACATGGCATTTTGAAGAACTTTATGAGGGTTTTCTAAGTTTAACATACAATTTACTAATAAAGTGTATACTAAGTATAATTACTGGTGAAATGTATGGTAAAATTAAAAAAAAACTCTCATAAAGTTCTTCAAAATACCATGTTGTCCCACGATTACATGATTTTCAGGGATGTGCTACCTCACTATCGAAAAGTCTAATTGTCAGACGCTCGGCCTTTTTATAGAATGTAATCATCATTACGGGAATTGGTTTGATGGTATATCGAGAGGAGAAGCGAACGTCAGGGGATGTGCACAAACACGGAGCGAAATACGGGCCTGGCGTCCCTAATCTGCTTTGATCGTGCTCGGTTGTCTTCGAAGCTGTTTGGTGCACATCAAACGATAATACGCTTTAGACATGATAGCACGAGTGCATCAAGACATTCACCACTCAGATTATGTTATAATAATTCAAGTTACTGCTACAATGTATATGTGATTGGGATGAGAAACGTTGTGTGTTTTGCGTACAAGGACTGTACAAAAGTGATATGTCAGAAGTTATCGATAATGCAGTTACTGCCTTGGATTTTACTGCGCTATCAATTGAATTGCATAACGGATAACAAGACAATAAATTAGTCTTAGCTCTATTCTTAGCTCTTCTTAGCTCTATTAGCTCATATATTTATATATTTTCAAACACATTTCTACAGGAATAATTGTGTTAATTAATGCAGATAAAAATGATTTATTGGAATTATAAATAACAATGGCTCGTAAGATAAAATCGAAGAATAATAGAAGGAGCTCAGAGCCTGAACAAAGTTATAATGTCCGATAAAATTACTTTATTATAATAGCAAATGTATATACAGGGTGTCCCAATTTAATGTCCCACCCCAAGTAACTTTTTTATTTTTGATCGCAGAAAAAACATTTCAGATAAAAGTTGTTTGGTTTGAAGGGGGACATAAGATAGTGCCATTAGTTTGACCTTCGTGACCAACGTGACGAGTTGGTCACGTGAAGGTTATCTTCAATTTTCTTTATGAAATGCCTATCACTTATTATACTATCTTATTCTACTAATTAATATGAACAACTTTTGTCTGAAACATTTTTTGATTTGCCTAATACTTTTTGAGATATTCAAGAGAAAATTAATAATTTTGTCAATGTTTAGCTTATGATATCTTGATAACTGTTTGTCGAAGGAAAAAGTAGTCTAAATGTCTGAACGCGTTTTTCTGTGATCAAAAATTAAAAAGTTATTTGGGGTGGGACATTAAATTGAATTAAAAACATATACCGATTTGCGTTTTGTATACGTAGATTACGCAGTCAGTAATATAAAATTGTAATAAATTAAGAGACGATAGTATAAAAAACGCGGCGCAAGTAGATATAATATCATGAATCAAAAAGTAAAAAACAATAATAGTCAGATAACGGTAAAAATAAATGAAGAGACGATAGTACAAAATAAACGCAAGTGAATATAACATAAGTCAGTAAATAAAAAATTGGAGCCGTGTTGGAATTGGACAAAAATTGGACCACGTGGATGACGATACGGTATATAAGAACTCAATATATCCGCTTGTTTTAATTTGTTCAACTTGCATAGTTTTGCGATTCTCTGAAAAATTTAGGAGGAAACAATAATGATAAACACATTTGCAAATATTTATTATTTATTTATATTGACATATAAAACGCACTTAAAAATAAGCATTACAATTTAAAATTCCTTTAGGAATAATTTATCAGTAGTCAATTTTGTAAGTAAAGCCAAAAAGTATTTTACAAAAAAAAAACAGGTAAAATTGCTAATGCTCAATTTATATTAGATGACTACTATGTAGTATTTATACAAAGAAAGTCAATCTATTATTAATATATATAAAGTCTGTCTCGCAAGCTACAAGAGACGCCCATGTCACAGACACAACTTAATTTTTACACAGGAAAAATGACAAAATTATGAGTGGTAAAGTTGACGTCTAAACAGATTTGCGCTCTTTATTTAAGACGCGTGCACACCATTTATCTATCTGTATCTTCTTTAGAGTTTGTTCTCCAAACTGGGAAAGCCTTCACAAAATTTAAACCAGTCTGTCGGCTTTGTTCACAAGAAAGCGAATAACAATGCACTGTGCAATCCTAGTTAGAAATAATTCGTCAAAACGTCGTCAAAACGTAAAAAATGTTATATAATACACATGTTATATTACATTTACCTTGTTGAGTAGCAAATTATAATATTGATGTAATGTAACTGTGCTACTTGGTGTTTACTGGGTTGTTATAAACGATGACATGCGTGTTATATTTCATTTATATTGTTGAATAGGACATTATAATATTGATGTTATGTAACTGCTACTTGTTGGCCGGCTTCAGCCAGTAAAGCTGTTCCAGTAAAAAATGACTTCGTTGAAAATGACGTCGATTGATGTCGAAACGATAATACGGTGAGTAATTTTAATAAACAAACGCAAATATCTCTTCGGGGAAGGAGGCTAGCAAAAAATAACCTGGGCAAGAGTTGTTGGGTTTCGAGGGAGACATAAGATAGTACCGTCTTATGTCTCCTTCGAAACCCAACAACTTTTACCCAGGTTATTTTTTGCTAGCCCCTTTCCCCGAAGAGATATTTGCGTGTGTCGATTAAAATGATCGATTTAAATAAACTCACCCTGTCATATATGTCACGCTTGATATAAAAATATAAATAACACGCAGTTACTGAGAGAATTCCGATTTCGACGTGCACTTCCAAGTACAAATTTCAGAATGCAATTAGAAAATCTCTTGAAATTAAAGAAATTAATGGGATTTTTAAAGTTAATGTATCTATTACATTATTGATTTATCATAGTAAAATTATGTATATGAAATATCCACTGTCGTATATATTCTGTGGTTTGAAAATATTGTATTAATTTTATCAAACATTATTAACAATAAGTATTACTTAGTTGCTATTAATCTTTCGGATGTTGAGATATAGACCGTCATTTAATGGTGTCGTCAAGAAAGCTTTCGGATTGAGAACCATTGGTATTAGAGTTTTTTCGCTTGGTAGAAACTCGTACTTGCGCAACATTGTAACGATTCCTAATTTTGTTTGTAAAAGTCCCATACGAGTGCCTACGGAATGAATAACATACCCCGTGAGATGTCTTATAATACTTTAACAAATAAAAGAAATGATTTTGTCTTGTTAAAAATTCTATTGCAAAATTCTATATATGAAAATTCCAGTAGTCTCTTTTTGCGACATTATAATTAAGATCGTAAATCTCATGTAAATTACATGAATTGAATTCATTTTAATTATTCCATACCTTAATTTTGTTAATTTTTATTCTTAATTTTATAGCTGTATTTATCCCACCTTAATTCTCATAACTAATGATCTCACCTATGCATACGCGTGGGCCCTCTCCAAATGGAAAATACACATTTGATGGTCTGTTACGTTTGTTCTCCTCTGTAAATCGCTCCGGGTCGAATTTGTGTGGATCAGGAAAGTATTCCGGGTCATAGTGCATGCCAGACATTGAGATATAAATCGGTGTGCCCTTTTCGAGCTTTAGATCGAAATTCGGCAACTTGTAGGCGTCCATTGTCACGCGATCTAGAAATGGCAATGGCGGATACATCCTCAAAGTCTCAGATACCACCATGTCTAGATACGGTAACGACACGATCTGTGTTGACATATTAAAATAAATATATTAAACTTGATAACACTAAATCTAGTCCCATTTTATAAAAGTTATTTTTATACACAAAACTTATGTGCGTTTACGTACCATGTCGTATGTGATTTTGCCGTCTGTTTCATCAAGCGCATCAAGAATTTCTTTTCTAAGTCTGTCTTGTATTTCGGGGTTCATTGCGATTTCGTACAAAGTGAAAGACATTGTCGACGAAGAGGTTTCAAAACCAGCCGTGAAGAAAATACTTGCTTGAGCTAGTAGATCGTCCCCGTCAAATTCTAAAATTTTAATTCTCATCTTTTCAAACTTTGAAAAATTTTTTTGCTTACCATAACTAACTGTTATAGCTATTGGAATTATAGCTTAAATTCATTGGGTATATTGATTTTCTAAATGTAAATTAACAAATTTATGCATTAGCTTCATGAATCGTTCGCTTACTAAATCCTCCCATGTCCTGATCTCCGTAAGTGTTTCTCAGTTCAATAAGGATATCAATGAGATCATTTCTCTTTCCGCCAGACTTTACGCGTTGACTGATTATCTCCCAAAAGACTCCACGTAAGAAGTCAGAGTTCTTCTTACCGAACATTTTCGCACCGATCATTTTAACTACACTTGGAAGGAAAAATATTGCTATAAACTCCACACCGCGAATAATATTGAAATTAAAAATTGTTCTGCCATGTTTTCGAAACTCAGCGTCTGGATTATTCAACGAATTCACGTTAAATCCATAGGCAGCAGTGCCGATTATGTCTGTAGCATATGTGGCGGTTATGTCCTTTATATCTATTTCCTTTTCGTTATCTGTCATCAATCATATTCTTATTATTATTTCCATTATTTAGTCGTAATGGCCTTTTTACTTTATGTTCCTTTTGATAATACGTAGGTACGTAACTTCATAAACTCAATACTTACCTCCCAATTTCAGCGATTCGAGATACGTATCTAGATCCTTTCCGCATTCCAGCATCAGTTCGAATATTTTCTTCATCTTGCCGGACGTAAAGAACGGCGTCAATTTCGTTCTCAAAATTTTCCAGGCTGGATTTTTGATAAGAAAGAGATTGGCAGAACCCAGACGATCATTTACTATATCAGGTGAGGCGTATCGGTCAGCGAAGTAATTGAAGTCCTTTACTAAAACCATTTTAACAAGCTGCCGATCGCGAATTAACAGAGCCGGTTTGTCTAATATGTAAAAGCCGATGTAAGGAGATCCCTTTCCTTGAATATAAAGTTCCTGCAGAAAATTTCCAGGAGATTTCTTTAGGAGTAGACAGTCTGCGAAATTGCCCAAAAATGGTATCGGTGGAAGGGCTACTGAGACGTCTCGTTTTTTCCAGTAGTTAAATTTGCGTGTCATATAAAGATAGGCAGCTATAATGAGAGTCGTCAGAACTATCATGCCGTCTAGGCCCCAATAAGCCGTTATGATTGCCATTGTACTCAGTTTGCCTATAAAAACATTCCTATTATATTTAACCATGCGTTAATTAAAGACGTATTATTTGTAAACACCTAAATTTCTTTTTAAATTCAAATCTATATATTAATATTTAAATTAATATTTAACAAATTTGATCAAATATCGTGAAAGAATATTGCATATTGATGAGATAGTCGTGACCGAGAATAAATAATTTAATAAGATTTGATTTTTAATTTTATAGTCACACTATTCGATGAAACACAAAACTCACAAATGTATCGAACGATATGTAAGTTCTAGCAGTTGCAAGAACTGACTGGATATTTCTTTATAAGTAAATGTGTTTATGTTTCGACCCTGCAACTCTGTTCATTCCCCCCTCTCCGTACGCAATTCGTTCGTATATGTGTTATATAAGTTATCTTACACGTGCCTTGATCCAGTAAGAAATGACTTGTCGATCAAAGTCGAAATGATATCGAATCGTTGGCCCAACACAACCAAATATTGGGTCAATGATTAACCAATGTTTGTTTAATGCACTGTGCTACTAAGAAAGTTGAAGGTGTCAATGTCGATTCGATATCGTTTCGACGTATCGTTTCTGATTGAGTATATTTATACACATTATACACATATATGCAGAATGGTTAAGTTAAGAGGATCCTTTAGCCATCTTTTTTACCGTCACAGTTAAATATAGTTTTTGCACTTTTAATTCTCTTTTTATTAGCTTTTATGCACATAATAATACCAGGATAAGTTGCGAACCGCTTGGCAGAACATTTGCATACTTAAACACTCACTGTCAGTTCAGGAGTCTAATAAAAACGATATTGGTAGTTTTTTTAGAATGGAATAAAATGCAATTTTTTTTGTACACAAAATAAATTTTAATCAACGTTTATGTGGGATACATTAGGCGTGTCGCAGCAAACTCCCGCACCGATTGGGATAAATTTTCGTCGACGATAACCCTGGAAGGTGTTATCTTTGCTTTGACCGATTGTCGCTCGCGTGGCATCAGCTAATTATGTCTAGTGTTTAGAGAGGAGGACTTGGAAAGTCGTGTGCAAGAGAGATAAGAAAGATAAAATGTGCGTAGTAGAGAGAGAATCGCGCCAAGAGTTCCACGAGTATTGAGAGACTTTTTAGAGTTGTACCTATTATATTATATTAAAACTCGAATTAATTTAACTCCTTCTCGTTCTTGCCAAACCACCCTTCTTTTAATTTATTAGGTGTACAAATGAATAATCCAAATTATTTTAAGCAGTTATGAAATCAATTTTAAATTGAATAGATTTTCCCGCTCTTTTGTGTTTATACAATGTTGACATATAACTATTAAAAAGAACATATAGTTTGGCGAAAGGCCCAACGTAACCTTCAAAAGTATTCAGTTCAGTACAGTCGAAAATGGCAACAGATAAGGTGCATATCCGACACTGCATTCTTTACGAATTTCAGCAAGGAAAAAATGCTACAAGAGCGTGCGAATCGATTTGCTCCTTTCTCGGCGAAGGTGTTGTATCGTACGATGTGTGCGCATTTTGGTTTAAGCGGTTTAAAAGCGGTGATTTTAGCCTAATCGACAAACAACGCCCTGGAGGCCCTCGGAAGCGCGACAACGATGATTTGGAACAACTGCTCACTGAGAATTCGGCACAAACGCAAAAAGAGCTTGCAGAACAGTTGGGAGTAACGCAGCAAACGATTTCCAAACGCCTACATGAGATGGGAAAGATCCAGAAAGAAGGAAAATGGGTTCTGCATGAACTCACTGAAACCAACAAAAATCAACGAGTGGCAGCGTGTCTTTTTCTTCTCAATAAGCAGCGTCGGAAGTCTTTCGTGTGGAAAATCGTTACGGGCGATGAGAAATGGATACTCTATGACAATCCGAAACGCAGGAAGTCATGGGTAAATCCCGGCGAATCATCAAAATCGGTCGCAAAACCCAATCGCTTCGGAAAGAAGGTTCTTCTCTGCATTTGGTGGGATATCAAGGGCGTGCTTTATTATGAGTTGGTGAAACAGTTACTGCGGACTGCTACCAACGTCAATTAATCTGCTTGAGTCAAGAATTGGAACGAAAACGCCCGTATACTGGCAAAGGAGAACGTCCAGTGAAATTGTTGCATGACAACGCCAGGCCACACATTGTTTCCAATACAAAAGACACCATACTGAGTCTTGGCTGGGACGTCTTGCAGCACCCGGCGTATTCATCAGATATTGCTCCATCCGATTACCACTTGTTCCGGTCGATGCAACACGCCTTGTCCGATATGCACTTCCAAACAGTGGATGAGATCCGAAAATGGCTTGACTTTATCGTATCCAAAGACGTAACATTTTTCCGAGATGGAATTCATCAGTTGCCTGAAAGATGGCTTAAAGTTATAGAAAGCAACGGCGAATACTTTGATTGAACAATTTCATTTACTTTCTTTTAAAATAAACCCTGAATGTAGCTGAAAAAATTGGATTATTCATTTGTACACCTAATAAATAATCCTACGGCCCTGATACGAGTTTATCTCGAGGTCGGGCGACCGTGATTGATGCAGAAATCTCCAGAACGAAATTTAGCCAACCACTTTTGGCATGTGCGTTCAGTTGCGGCATTTTCTCCATATACACGACATATCTTTCTATGAGCCTCCGCAGCTCGTTTGCGTTTTTGAAATAATAAAGGAAAATATGACGATAATGGACGTTATTTCCTTCCATTTTCACAGCTACGTAAGTAGAACACACAGAAATGATGTTAGCTAAACGTACACTCATCGAAAAATTACGAGAAACCTAGCCTTTCAGATATACGCAATCGAGTTTTACAATAGAGCCGAGAATCACAAAAGCCAATCAGAGTGAACCTGCACCGAGAAATAAACCGAACGGACTTATTTACCAACCCAATACATAATGTATGACACTCTCGATATAAAGAAAGATCTGTTAAAAATTTAATTAAATCAATTTAGTCTTTGCTTTAAAAAGTAGATAAGGGGTCAAGTAAATAATATCAGGTTTGCTTATTGAATCTTGAGTTTTTCCTTTGGATTAAAATTTTATAGGCGTATGGAAAACGGCGTAGTGTGCGTGCGCGCGCGCGCCTTTTGTATTCGATAGCGTGAAGGTGTGTGTGTGTGTGTGTGTGTGCGGCGTGCGCGCGCGCGCGTGTGTGTGTGTGTGTGTGTGTGTGTGTGATTGTATCTGAATATGTGTACTCAGTATTTTACCAAACAACCCTAATTTATTAATATTAGATTACTAATTTATTAATATTAGATGCCTAATTTATTAATATTAGATTACTACTACACGGTATTTATATATAAAAAATAATGAATCTGTTATAAATATATTTAAAGCTTATAATATGTATAAACTCTTACATAACATCAATATTATAATTTTCTACTTAACAATATAAATGTTATATAACCTGCATGTTGCACTAATATACCTTGTTAAGTAGCAAATTATAATATTGATATTATGTAACTGTTACTTGGTGTTTACTGGGTTGTTATAGACGATGGCATAAGTGCATTTCATTTACATTGTTGAGTAGGACATTACAATATTGATGTTACATAACTCCTACTTACTGGCAGGCACTAAACAAAGCTGTCCCAGCGAAAAATGACACGTTGATTAATGACGAAACGATATATATATATACATATACATATATGACACACTCGAAACGTAAATAATACGCAGTTACTGAAAGAATTCCAATTTCAACGTGAACTTCCTCGTCTAAGTTTCAGAATGCAATAAAAAAAATCGCTTAAAATTACAGAAACTAATGAGATTTTTAAAGTTAATGTATGTCCACTAGTGATTTATTATAGTAAAATTATGTATTTGAAATATCGACTGTCTAATGCATTCTGTGGTTTTAAAACATTATATTAATATTATCAAACACGGTTACATATTATTTAGCTGCTCTTAATCTTGCGGAGGGTGAGATATAGATCAGCACTTAGTGGCGCCGTCAAGAAAGCTTTCGGATTGAGAACCATTGGGATTAGAGTTTTTTTGCCTGGTACTACCTCGTATTTGCGCAAAATTGTAACGATCCCCAATTTTGTTTGTAAAAGTCCCATACGAGAACCTATGGAATAAATAACATATCGTGAGATGTCTCATAATATTTTAACAAATAAGAATAGCATTGTCTTAGTAAAAATTCTATTACAAAATTCAATGTATGCGACTTCCGACTAATTTCGCGATATCATAATTCAGATCGTAGATCTTATGTAATTTATACGGATAGAGTTCATTCTCATTATTGTATGCGTAATAGATTACATAAGAATTCATGATTCATATAACTTATATAACTAATAGATCAAAAATATAAATGAATATTTTAGCTGCTTTATTCTTAAATTCATAGCTATATTAAGTTCATCTTTAATTCTCATAACCAATGATCTCACCTATGCATACGCGTGGGCCATCTCCAAATGGAAAATACACATTTGTTGGTCTATTACGTTTGTTCTCCTCGGTAAATCGCTCCGGGTCGAATTTGTGTGGATCAGGAAAGTATTCCGGGTCATAGTGCATGCCAGACATTGAGATATAAACCGGTGTGCCCTTTTCGAGCTTTAAATCAAAATTCGGCAACTTGTAGGTGTCCATTGTCACGCGATCTAGAAGTGGCAATGGTGGATACATCCTCAAAGTTTCGGATACCACCATGTCTAGATACGGTAACGACCAGACCTGAAATAAGTATATTAAACTTGATAACACCAAATCCATTTCCATCTTATTAAACGTATTTTTATATACAAAACGTATTTGTGTTTACGTACCATGTCGTATGTGATTTTGCCGCCTGTTTTATCAAGCGCATCAAGAATTTCTTTTCTAAGTCTGTCTTGTATTTCCGGATTCATCGCAATTTCGTACAAGGCGAAAGACGATGTCGTTGCAGAGGTTTCAAAACCAGCCGTGAAGAAAACAGCTGCTTGCGCTAGTAAGTCGTCCCCGTCAAATTCTGCAATTTTTGTTCACATTTTTTCAAATTCTGGAAAATTTTTGTTGTTTACCATAACTAATTTGAACTATTGGAATTATTATAGCTTAGATTCAGTGGGCGTTTTCGTTTTCTAAATGTAAATTATAAAGTTTATGCATTAGCTTCATAAATTCTATGCTTACTAAATCCTCCAATGTCCTGATCTCCGTAAGTGTTTCTCAGTTCAATAAGGATATCAATGAGATCGTTCCTCTTTTCGCCAGACTTTATGCGTTGCGTGATCGTCTCCCAAAAAACTTTACGTAGGAAGTTAGAGCTCTCCTTACCAAATGTTTTTGTACCGGTTATACTAATTATATTTGGAAGGAAAAACATTGCCAAGAACTCCAAAGCGCGAATAAGGTTGAAATCAAAAATTAATTTGCCATGTCTTCGAAACTCGGCGTCTGGATTATTCAACGAATTCACGTTAAGTCCATAGGCAGCAGTGCCGATTATGTCGGTAGTGAATTTAGCGATTAACTCCTTTATGTCAATTTCCTTTCCTTGATCTACCATCAATCATACTCTTATTATTGTTTTCATTATTTAGTCGTAATGGCCTTTTTACTTTTTGTCCCTTTTGGTGATACGTAATTAACTTCATAAACTCAGTACTTACCTCCCAATTTCAGCGATTCAAGATACGTATCTAGATCGTTTCCACATTGCAGCATTAGTTCGAATATTTTCTTCATCTTGCCGGACGTGAAGAATGGTGTCAATTTCGTTCTTAAGGTTTTCCAGGCTGGACTCTTGAGGAAAAAGAGATTGGTGGCACCCAGGCGATCATTTATTGGATCAGCTGCGGCGTATCGGTCAGCGAAGTAATTGAAGTCCTTTATTAAAATATTTTTAACGAGCTCCCGATCGCGAACTAACAGAGCCGGTTTGTCACATATGTAAAAGCCGATGTAGGGAGATCCCTTTCCTTGAATATAAAGTTCCTGCAGAAAATTTCCAGGAGATTTCTTTAGGAGTAGGCAGTCTGTGAAATTGCCCAAGAATGGTGTCGGCGGAAGCGCTTCTAAAACGCCTCGTTTCTTCCAGTGGTTAAATTTGCGTGTCATGTATAGATATGCAGCTATAATTAGAGTCGTCAGAAATATTATGCCATCTAGTCCCCAGTAAGCCGTTATGAGTGCCATTGTATACCCCTATAAAAACATTTCTTTTATATTTAACCATGCATTAATTAAAGACGTATTATTTGTAAACACGTAATTACCTTTATAAATTGGAATCTATATATTAGTATTTAAATTAATATTTAACAAA